AATAATCGCGAAAACTTCTGCGTTATTTTTAGTTTAAACATCTTTGTGGGTCCAGATATTGATTTATGTGGGTTGTTTACACTTTTGATTGCTGCACGGGACAAGAGAACGGAGCAAAATATCGCGGCATCGGAACAGAAAAATTGACTTGAAGTTTTTGAAGTTTAAAATTGTTTATAAATCATTTAAATTGGGCAACATGGTGGTCGATTGGATTTTGATTGAGAAGGGTTCTCTTGCTCCTGTGTAGCTGATCAAAAAGTGTACGGCCATTAGTTTGTCGGCTTAGAAACCAAGAGATGAAATGGCAAGCTAATAAACAGTTGTAAATCAAAACCGATTGGACAGCAAATGAAATGTTTGGAGAGTTTTAAAGAAAAACAGCTATTCGTGAGCTTCTAAAACATATCCATAACGGAATCAAATTATTTTGGCGCTTATTTGATACAGAAAGTCTTAGCTTGCCATTTCGTCTTAGTTTTTCAAAACTAATGCACTATCTCGCACGTAAACCATCGATAAGATGGTTCAAAATTGAAAACTGATTTGGCCAAAAAAATATTTCGAGAGAGAAAACGGAACGCAAATCGTTGTGAAAAATCAAAATTTTTATGTGCGAGACAGTGCAATAGTTTTTGGCGGGATTTTTTCATTTTGTTGCTCTTGAGATTTTTTTGCGCTCAAAAAAGTCTGAAGGGTAACTCTATAAAATTTTTCTGGAAAATGTTGTCAGGGAAAACGCTGTGCAAATTTTTTTAAATTTTCCCGCCAAAAGACTTAGTACAGTTTTTTCCGGACATCTTGTTAATTAAATAAACTGATTTTCACTTAATTAATTAGTGAGTTACTTATTATTGCAAAGAATTGAAAACAATAGAAATGAAATTAAAGAATAATAACAAACAAGTGGTGGTTTTTATTGTGTACTTTATTAGTATTACAGATAATAAACAGAATATACAAGTGTTGAATAATAAATAACTTTTATTGACTTATTAATTTTACACTTTTTATTATTACAATGGAAAAATTAAAAAAAAAATTGGCGCATGCGTATTTTGGGCGCCCGTATTTTTTCTAAGTCTTTTGGCGGGAAAAATAAAAATTTTCAAACAGATGTTAACAAGAATACTAAATAATTTTAAAAAAAATTGGCGCATGCGTATTTTAGGCGCCCGTATTTTTTCTAAGTCTTTTGGCGGGAAAAATAAAAATTTTCAAACAGATGTTAACAAGAAGTAAATAATTAAAAAGAGTTGGCGCATGCGTATTTTAAGCGCCCGTATTTTTCTAAGTCTTTTGGCGGGAAAAATATATTTTTTTAAACAGATGTTACCATGTAAATAATTTCAGAAACAAAAAATGTCAGCACTTGAAAAGCAATAAAGTTCAAAAAATTGTTTGCTCAAAAACTTTGTTATTACATTTTATTAAATCCGTGAAATAGATACTAGACAATTGGGACACTAAATCCAATGATTCTGACTATAAAATTTGCTTCACGGATAAGGGGATTTTGTGAAATCACTAACTTGACTTCCAGTCTGAAAAAAATTGTTGCAAAAAAAACTAATCGCGATAAATCTTAAGTGTTCTACCTTACTTTTAATACACGATCCATTGATGCAACAGCTAAATGAACTTGTTTGATTTCCTTTGCTCCTTTGCTCCTTTGCTTCTTTCTCCATGTTGGTGTAAACTTGAGATCGTAACACGTTCAACTTCAAAGCAGGCACCCTGAAAGAAATAGAAATACAAAGTCAAATTAATAATGGTCATATTTAAACCAAACAAACGAAATATATATACTAAAGATTCTCTGAGCTATAGTCAATTCTCTTCTTCTTCTTCGTCTGCGTTTCTCGTTGATTTTCATTGCTCGACTCTAAAGCATGGTCACCGGGTTATTATACAACATCACCATAAGCATTAAATTGTATTTTTCAAGTAACATTTCATATTGGTAAAAACTTTAAACACGGGCGAGCGGTATAAAATGCTGCCTTCTTAAACATGACTATATTCAATTGCAATTTGCAAATCAACAGCAATATGGGGCACGAAAATTCATGATATAGAAATAAATGAGCATCGACTTGAATGTAGAATTCTAATAACTTAATCAGCCTTGTGCGTTTTTATTTTGCGAGATTTAAACCGCGCTGTCTGCAGCGAAAAGCTTGCAAAACGGCCGGCTCAAAATTTCACGAGAAAAATGTCGGCGACAAAACACCGAGGTAATATTTACACTCAACTTATTTGCCGCTTTATATGACCAAACTAGTAGTATTCAGTTTACACAAGCGAATAACAAGATTTAAATTTGCAATTCAAAACGTTGTCCAAATGCAACGTTTATTCAAAGAAGCGAAACCCGTTTTCATCTGTGATATATCCGCGTCATGCTTTACAAAACGTCTAAACCTTTAGTTTTTGAATGAAGTTTTTGCATTTGAAAAAACCCAAGACAATTAGTTACCATTATGCACTGATTTCATGAATTTCTTTTGTTCACTTTTGATTTGATAACACATTCCTGACTATATTAAGTTTTGTGAAAATCGCTATACGATAAGGTACATGTTGATGAAAAAGTCGAAATAATGCCTATACCGGCTTGTAGCACTCCATCACTTGTTTTAATTTTCTGCCTGTAGTGTGCGCCATTATTGCTAGTACCATCAAGTTAATCATTCCAGCCAATCCAAAACAAATAACAGCAACTCACCTCATATGGAGTCCATTCTCTCACTGTGATTTTCTTTCTCCACATCTGGCATTTATCACTGATGACATCTGTTGTGTACCTGGCAAGAAACAGGAAATGTTTTGATCAATTTGGCAGTATTGTGTAGAAAGAAACGACGGTGAATTTTAAGCTTGGTAGAAATATGAGAAAGATGTTTTTTCAGTCTTGGAATTTTTTTTGAGTTCTCCCAACGGGAGTCGATGACGTTCTGCACACCGGTCGGACGCTCTACCACTGAGCTACACGAGACCTGTTAGGCCATATAACAACAGTCGAACCCCTATTAAGCGGCCACCTATTAATCAACCCTGATTAAGCGGCCAGCTATCAAACTTAGTTCCAATATCAGTATAATACTGTAAATAAAACCATGATTAAGTGGGCAACCCCTACTAAGCAGCCACTTGCCATTCCCCCGAGGGGGGCCGCTTAATCGGGGTTCGACTGTAGGTTCAAATGTGACAAACTTCCCGCACACATATATATAGTCACTAGTTTTACGAACATTGTAAAAATAAAATCATATCCTTGTGCTACTGGGGAAGTGGACCAGGTTTGAGCGCTGGCCGGGGTCATTGTCTTGAACAATACTCTCTCAATGTCTTACTACTTATATCAAGTCAGGGGCGGATCCAGGAATTTTTGATAGGGGGGGTCCCAGGATTTTCCCGAAAATGTGAAGTAGAGGGATCATTTTTGGAATTAGACGGCAGTACTGGGTTATTACTATAAAAGGCGTGGAGGGGGTGTTTGGAGGCCTCCCCCAGAACATTTTGAGATTTCAGGCTCTGAAAAGTGCATTTTGGTGGACCTCCTCAGGTCTGATAGGGGGGTCCGGACCCCCCAACCCTCCCCCTGGATCCGCCACTGCAAGTAATCAATGAACATTGCAACTAGCAACTCACCTCGAATGGAGTCCATTCTCTTGAGCACAGTGGTTATCTCTCTGACTCTCTCTACATCAATCTCAGCACCTAGCGTTCACTGTTGCTTACATTGTACATCTGTTCTGTACCTGTTGTAATAAGAAACATGAAACGTTTTGATCAATAATTATGGGAGCCTTAGTCTCTAGTTGAAATATTTTAAGGGGAGCAGGGATGGCGCAGTGGTGAGAGCGCTTGCCTCCCACCAATGTAACCCGGGTTCGATTCCTGAGCCGCAGAAGCCATATGTGGGTTGAGTTTGTTGTTGGTTCTCATCCTTGCTCCAAGGGTTTTTCTCCGGGTACTCGGGTTTTCCTCCCTCCTCAAGAACCAACACTTCTAAATTTCGATCTGGAATCCAAGGGCCACAGGTTTGTCAAAATTTATTGTAAGACTGTTACGTATCACTCTCGTTAAACACAATCGATTTAGTTATACAATCATTATAAAAATAAAATCATATCCTTTTGTCATTCAGGTTCAACCCTACTCAGCTAGTACAGGGAAAGCTTCTATAATAACAAATTTGTAATAAATCAAGAGGAAAAGTTACATTGTAGTACCTTTTTTTATTAAAAGAGTACCCTACCCTACCCAATCTCATAATAAATTAATTCTTTATTTTTTCTCATCAAAAAGTCCCTTATTTATGTAATGTGGAAGACACAGTGGCCTAATGGTTAGCGCGTTGGACTCCGGATCGAGCGGTCCGGGTTCGAGCACTGACCGGGGTCATTGTCTTCTTGGGAAAGTCATTTGACTTCACATTCACAGCGCTTTTCCCTACCTGGGTACCAGCGAACAAAATGCTGGGGATAACATGTGATGGACTAGTATCCCATCCGGGGCAAGTAGCAATAGTCCTAACCGCTTCATGCTATGGAAACCGGAGTTAACTGCTGGACAGTTAAGCCACTAGGCTCAACATGTCTTAATTTTCATCCAGTAATCAATAAACACTGCAACTAGCAACTTTCCTCAAATGGAGTCCATTCTCTCGTTGAGCACTATGACTTGCTTTCTTCGCATTGATCTGGCTTCTATTGCTGCTGACATCTGTTTTGTACCTAGCAACAAACAGGAAACGTTTTGATCAGTATGGCAGCCTTAGTCAAAGTGTATGAACATTGTAAAAATAAAATCACATCTTTGTGCCATTGAGGCAGATCCCTAAAGTTTCAACCCTACTAATAACAAATTTGTAATAAAACAAGAAGGAAAGTTGCATTGTAGGGCATTGTTTTTACTAAAAGAGTACCATACCCAATCTCATAATAATTTATTTTTTCACATAAAAAAGTCCCTAATATTAAATTAATGTGGAAGACATGGTGGCCTAATGGTTAGCGCAAGGTGGACTCCAGATCGAGCTGTCCGGGTTCAAGCCCTGGCCGGGTCATTGTCTTCTTGGGCAAGACACCTTACTCTCACAGTGCCTCTAACCAACCGGGAGTATAAAATTAATGCACATGACAAAATGCTGGAGCTACTGTAACCTGTGATGGACTAGCATCCCAGCCAGGGGGAGTAGCAATACTCCTAGTCGCTTCATGCTACGGAAACCCTCACTGTTGAGGCACCAAGCCAGGAAAGGCTTTGCTTACTACTTACATCAAGTAATCAATCACCACATGGCAACTCACCTCAAATAGAATCCAATCTCTCACTGTGATTTTCTTTCTCCACATTAATCTGGCTTTTATGGTTGCTTACATCTGTTGTACATGTATACCTAGCAAGAAACAGGAAACGTTTTGATTAGTATGGCAGCCTTAGTCCATATAGTTTTATGAACCACATTGTAAAAATAAAATTATAAGCTTGTTTCATTGAGGCACTGACCAGAAACCCATAAGGGTTGAAACGTGTAACTTTCCTTACGAGTTTCTGGGCAGACCCATAACTTTCAACCCTACTGGGAGAGCCTCTAACTAATCTATAAAGAGGGTGTTTTCCTTAAAGGAGCTACGTCATGGATGGAGCATTTTGAAAAAATCAGTTATTACATCTTTGGTGACGTTTTTCTACCTTAATTTTGTTAATCAAAAATAACTTAAAATATTGCGACGTACGTAGCTCCTTTAATTGCAAAAATGTTGGATACTACCCAACTGTCACTCCGTGTTACAGATACACTTAAATACAAAACTACCTGGCCCCTGTTCCATGTTCCTGTAAGAATGTCTTGAGGCAGGAGATGACTTCTGTTGATTCTCTTTTGGCGGTCGTCTCGGGCCAAAGGTTCATGGTTCCCTGGTTGCTGACAAAATCATGGATACCGAAGTTGTAAGTCCATAGCTTGCGGGAGTAAAACATATCGTTGTGTTGCAGCGTGGGCATTTCCAGATTTTGTTGGAAGTCATTATGTTATCATATCCACAGCATCTTTACTTTGAGGGAGTTCTCCACCTGTTACCCGTTTATTACCCCGCCAGCTATGGTTGGCCGCTTTTTTATCTTCAGACTTTGAAGTGTAGCTGAGACTTTGCCAGCCGGTGATGCTCTTCACACTCCGCCTCCTTTTTTCTTTTCTCCGGGCCATTAACCGACTGGATAGTTATTTCTAGCTCATCACACCAGACACAGGTATCACTTCTGGGCCATCCGAATCCCAAATTGAATTATTCGTTGAAGATTTTGGAATATAGGTCAAGGCTGACCTCCAGTTTTCAAGGCTCTGGGACAGCCACATTCTGTTGTTTACACATGAAAAAAGAATAATCACAGACCCCTTAGGCCTAAGTCTGATAGATGGGGGAGGAGGATGATGGGTGGGTAATGCAATCGTAAGGTAACAAGGGTGTTTGTCGGAAAGATTAAAAAAAAATGAAGTCTCTTCTCGTGTGGCTTCAATTTTAACCCCTAAAAAGTACCAACAATACTTAGTAAGCGGCCAAGTTCAAAATGTGTGTGACAACAATCTCAACAATCTCTCCACCCCTAGAGAGAGCACGAACCTTGTTTTGAATCGTGCTCATGAAGTGAGCCAGTACAACTCACCTCAAATAGAATCCAATCTCTCACTGTGATTTTCTTTCTCCACGTCAATCTGGCTTTTATTGCTGCTGACATGTATCTGTTTTGTGCATGTACCTAGCAACAAACAGGAAACATTTTGATCAATATCTATGGTAGCCTTAGTCTCTAGTTTTACCAACATTCAGGGGTTTCATTAGAAGCCGGCTACCGGCGGTCTACCGCCACCTACGTTGCCTCTTGCCGCTGCTTTCTAACAAGCCTTCTGGCTTTCTGAGTAAGATTTATGAAAGAAAAAAAAACATCGACTGTAACAATGTAAGTCTTTAAACTCCAAACTTCATATAGAATAATCGCAAGATCGTTTAAAATACCTGAGATCTACTGTGATCGATAAAAATTGTCATATATAGGCATATAGCACTAGATTTGACTCCCAGAATGCTGGAAATTGCATTTCCAAGCTTCTACATTTCCAAAATTTTCTGGGGGGGGGGGGGGGGGGGGGGGGGGCATGCCCCCATACCCCCTAGTATAAAGGGGCCTTACCGCCCCTTCATTGGTCACAGCCGCCTATTCCACCATGGTAAGCCACTTACTTGAAAAATTAATGAAACCCCTGAACATTGTAAAAATAAAATCATATCCTTGTACCATTGAGGCAGATCCCTAAAGTTGGAACCCTACTGATAACAAATTTGTAATAAATCAAGAGGGAAAGTTGCATTGTAGGGCTTTTTTGTACTAAAAGAGTACCCTACCCTACCTAACCCAATCTCATAATAAATTAATTCTATTTTTCACATAAAAAGTCCCTTATTTAAGTAATTTGAAAGATGTGGTGGCTTAATGGTTAGCACGTTGGACTCCAGATCGAGCTGTCCGGGTTCGAGCACTGGCCGGGATCATATTGTCTTCTTGGACAAAACACTTTACTCTCACAGTGCCTCTCTCCAATCAGGAGTATAAACGCGTAACAATGAACTATATTAGCTAGGGGCACCTGACAAAATGCTGTGGGTAAGCTGTGATGGACTAGCATCCCAGCCAGGGGGAGTAGCAATGTGTGGTTCCAGAATATATCCATACCTATCCCACGGAAGGTTTTTTGGTTTGAACACCCCTCCCCCCAGGAATTTCCAGTTTAGCTTCATACTTTCCTTTAAAAAGTTTGGCTTTTGAGACCCCCCTCCCCCTCGGAATTTCCAATGACCTTCCTTGGGGTGGGTATGGATATTTTCTGTAACTGCACAATACTCCTAGTCGCTTCCTGCTACGGAAACCCTCACTGTGGAGGCACCAGGCATGGAAAGGCATTCCTCACTACTTACATCAAGTAATAAATCAACAGCAACTCACCTCAAATGGAGTCCATTCTCTTGAGCACTGTGATTTTCTTTCTCCACATTAAGCAGGTTTTTGTTGTTTACATCTGCTGTATACCTACCAACAAACAGGAAATGTTTTGATCAGTATGGCAGCCTTCATCCGTATAGTTTTATGAACCACATTGTAAAAATAAAATTATAACCTTGTTTCATTGAGGCAGACCCATAAGTTTCAACCCTACTGGGAGAGCTTCTCATCTACCGTGAACGCTCTATTTAGCCCCCCCCCCCCCCCTCTCTATTAAGCCCCCCTATCAGGAGCCCATTAGACAGAGCGAGCAACTCCGACACTAAGCCTATGTCACAGCGTTTTTACAGACCGGTTTATTTTTAGATTCCTTTTTCCCGGGAAAATGTGTTTCTGGTCCCATGTGCAATATGAAATGAAATAAAATAAAATAAAAAGATGGCGATCTAATTGCGGCCTTTGTTACGCGGTAACGCCAATTAATGATTACAAAGGAAAAACGTTTGATTGTCTGGCGGGAATACGAATTCGCGGGAAAAGCGAATCTAAAAATAACCTGGTCTCTAAAAACGAATCCAGTCCAGTTGCTTGCTCCTAGTGATGGGCTCCTGCCCCTATCTAATAAGCCCCCCTTTGGAAGTCATATTTTGTAATAAGCCCCCCTCTCGCCCCCCTCCTTTCATAAGGCTGATGTAAATGACTTTTCAGCAATATTTTCTGGCGTTTCAGTCACTTTGTATTGAAACGTCGTCTTACTGATTCCCAGAACTATCGTCGAGTTAGGGTATAAATGACATTTCCTTTGTAAGATAGTCATACATAACCCATTTCTTGTTCTGTTTTAGTTTGTGGTGTAATAGCAAAGTTTGAAAAATTAATGTGAATTTTCTTGAAAATTTATGATTTGAAATAAGCCCGTCTCTATTAAGCCCCCTAAAAAAAGTTGACCCTAAAAAAAGTTGACCCTAAAAAAAGTTGACCCTAAAAAAAAGTTGACCCTAAAAAAGTTGACCCTAAAAAAAGTTGACCCTAAAAAAAAGTTGACCCTAAAAAAAGTTGACCCTAAAAAAAGTTGACCCTAAAAAAAGTTGACCCTAAAAAAAGTTGACCCTAAAAAAGTTGACCCTAAAAAAGTGGTCCCTAAAAAAAGTTGACCCTAAAAAAAGTTGACCCTAAAAAAAAGTTGACCCTAAAAAAAGTTGACCCTAAAAAAAGTGGTCCCTAAAAAAAAGTTGACCCTAAAAAAAGGTTGACCCTAAAAAAGTGGTCCCTAAAAAAAGTTGACCCTAAAAAAAGTTAACCCTAAAAAAAGTTGACCCTAAAAAAAGTTGACCCTAAAAAAAGTGGTCCCTAAAAAAAAGTTGACCCTAAAAAAAGGTTGACCCTAAAAAAAGTGGTCCCTAAAAAAAAGTTGACCCTAAAAAAAAGTTGACCCTAAAAAAAAAGTTGACCCTAAAAAAAGTTGACCCTAAAAAAAAGTTGACCCTAAAAAAAATTGACCCTAAAAAAAAGTTGACCCTGCGTCCAGTTTGGTGCGTCTAGTTTGGTGCATCCAGTTTTTTGCGTCTAGTTTGGTGCGTCTAGTTTGGTGCATCCAGTTTGGTGCGTCCAGTTTTTTGCATCCAGTTTTTGTGTCCAGTTTGGTGTGTCCAGTTTTTTGCGTCCAGTTTTTTGCGTCCAGTTTTTTGCGTTTAATGGCTCCTTTCTACAAACCATCCCACCCACCTCCTAAGGTAGACTGTTCTTATATTTCTTTCTTTCCTCCTCTTTCTTCTTTGTGGTACAGCAAAGCAAAACATTCTTACAGATCTCGCTGGTTATCACCCTCACATACCAAAAATAATCAATCCCAACTTCACGAGGACCGGCGAGTCACATATTACTAGTTAATGCTTTGAGAAACTGATCCGAAGTAGATCAATCATATCCTAAATGCACGGATCATCAATCTAACACACTTTGGAACACACAAGCAACTGTTTATTGTGTATGCCTGTACTTACTGATCAATACAGTAAGTCAGCTTTCGGAAGACAGCAAAAAAAATTAATAGCAACAATATCTCAT